TGTGTGTGTGATTGTGTGTGTATGTGTGTGTGTATGTGTGTATGAGTGTATGTGTGTGATTGTATGTGTATGTGTGTGGGTGTGTGTGTGATTGTGTGTGTATGTGTGTGTGTGTGTGTGTTATCGCATTTAGCTCAGGATTGCCCTGGCAGCCTAGCACACAAAGTTGAGGCAGCCCGCCTCCCGAATGGTCTAAATTATGGTGACGATGTTGGCATTGAACAATGATAACGTCTTACCTCGAAGTAAATGTCAATAATCTTTAAAATCAACAATTAATTTTACAGGCATGAAATTATGTTGTATTTAACATAACAACTGTTTGTCTCAAGGCACTTTTTCATCCGATACAGCCCGCAGTGACAATGTCTGCTTCGGCCAAAGTCCTTTGGCATTACATTTGTTTCCAGCACAATTTCTTTCTTGTCTTCAAATTTTTGAACCCTTTCAGAAGACCAGGAGGCAAGTGCTCGGAATATGAGTGTCTACTGACACTGACAGTGAAGACAAACGCACTTGGAAACAGAGTGTTCCCCACAAACTGATATTTCACAAGATATTCTGTCCTTGTTTTTCTGATAAAGTCCAGAGCGTTTCCTCTTTCTTTGCCCATGTTCAGTGACCAGTGTTCTTGCTTCTTGGTTTTGGGTAAGTGGTGTGACACCACAGAGAAGTATGCTCATACGAGCTGACTTAGGAATGTTCTCAGTGGCCGCCCGGCATTGTATTAATGGCAGGCAGAGCTCATCACCCAACATCTCAAGGAAGATTTTTCTCCTGTGTTTCTTGCGGATATTCCACTGGGGATTTTGAGCAGTGAAGCAGATGTAAGCAGCAATAGCTGCAACATCCAACAGATTGCAGAAGAAGGTCAGATGCCGTCTCACGGTCTGCCTCTTTGACATGTATACATGGACCATCTGATCCAGAGAGTCCACACTGCCCTTTGTTTTGTTGTAAAAGATGTTGATTTCTGCTTTCCCGGTCTCCTCATCGAAGCTGCCATTCGGTACATAGGCCTACTTGACAGGAGGAGAACTGCCTTTCCTATTATAGTAAAAATGCCTTGGGGTCTGAGAGGCTCCCTTTAGGGTTCAGGGGGGTTGTCCTAGGAAAATAGTCATCACTGTCTTCCAAATAATCCAAATAACTTCATAGACCGTATTCATGCTTATCAGAGGGTGTTTGAAGAATACCTGGGAGGAAAATAATATCGAACCAAAAATTTTGTCGAAAATGCCTGAAGTATACCTGTTGGGGTCTGCGAGGCCCCCATCCAGAAGACTAGGGTTAAATAGGCCTTTTGAAATTATTGTGCGCCCCGCTTTGTGAAAAACAGGAAACAATCATTGTAATCAATAATAGGCTATTATTATTTATAGACAAAGACATAAATACAGTTAGCAATCATATAAAGCTGGCATCGACCCTCTTTTGTTTTCGCTGTTCCTTACACATACAGCAAATGGCGTCGCGTGGGTTGCAAACAAGGTGATGCATTATTGGAAAGTGAGCAAATGGGCAATAGGTTTAGTAGCTACTATTTTATTAAGATTTCTAGAGAAAATCAATTAGAATCCTCAGGATATCCCGTAAACTACATCTATCGATATTTACAACTGTTTCAAGATGAAACCGCATTAAAGCAGCAATAAAGTAAAACAATACTAACAACTCACTATGCTCACAATCTGAGAAGGTTTAAAGATTTTTAATTACATGTACTTCGTGCAGCACCAGGACTTGCTACACAAAAGAGGGAGACAACAGGTTTGATACCCATTCTTCATTGAGTTATCGTAGACTTTACTAGTGTAGTAGAGAGGCTCGCGGAAGCTTGGATCAAACTTTTAGCTTGCACCAAATTGGTGCGGCGAAGAGTAGTTTCATGCACACTTCTTCTTGTGCGGGAAGAATGATGCCTAAATGTCTCTGCAGTGACAAAAATAACTTTGGTGCAAAGATTTTTCTTGCTCCCAGTAGACACTACCGCAAGCGGTGCGACGAGCATAAACCCTCCCCGCCGTCTGTCTCTTCACTGGCGCAGCCAGCGGGTGACGCATCGCAAGGTCAAGGATGTAGTAGGCCTAATGTAGATCGAGAGCACCGATTGGTTTAGAACACTTAGAAAAAAAAAGGGGGGGTGAGGCTGAAGGCTTGGGATAGGTGGAGCGCTTGTGACAGCTAGTTATGGCACACACCTAGAATCATGCAGTCGTCTTAAATTCAGTTTAAAAGATACATTTTTCACCATTTCTTTTTATAATTAGATCTTTCAGCGTCTTGAAATGTCATTCTATCCGTCATCCCGTCAGTTGATCACAATCTCTCTCTCTCTCTCTCTCTCTCTCTCTCTCTCTCTCTCTCTCTCTCTCTCTCTCTCCCTCTCTCGTTTGCTCTGGCTCTCTGTCTTTCTTGTTCTCTCTCCCCTTTTCTTTCATCGTACTTTGTTTTTTTTACAGAAGAAACATTTCTCCGTCCCTGTCAGGTTTCGAACCCGGGGAGCGTGTTGAATTAAAGACGAACACCGAACCTCTAGACCACGAGAGCCAACATTTGCATGACTGTGTCTTATAAGCCAAAAAAGCAACTTTTGAAAATGTTGTTGCTTAAAACGTCTGTGGACGACAGAAACGATTCAACGATTAGCATGACAAAACATTCTTTCGTCGAGTCGTAACCTTAGCGCACGTATAGAGGCCCCATACCTGAGGTAAAGTTAGTCGAAAAACGCTAAGATAGAATGGACCCTTTGGCCCATTTTAAGCCTGAATTATTATCCGACCTGGTTTTTTGTCATCCAGACAAAGCGGGAAGTGTAGAATCTTCCTTCGCTTGCGTCACAGCTATGTCTTTTCAGGAAGTGTTCGTGTTATGGGAGACATGTTGATGCGATGATGCAGTCCATCTGAACGAATGTTTTCCGGATTAGGCAGTCACTCATGAGAGACACTTTGTACGTCCACCATCCCTCCTTTTCCTCCCTCATTTCTAACCTGAACCTTCTGCCTTGCACTTTTCCTGAAAGCTAAAATTTATCGAGTTCACGTTTTACTTTTTTTTGTGTTGTTATTGATAACGTTACCGTTATTATTGCTCTTTTTTCCTGATCGATATGCGGGGATTTTTGTTTTGTTTTGGCTTTTGTCTTGTTTCTGTTTTCTTTGAGTGTTTTGTCTGTGTG